GCAGGAATTAAAGATAACCAAACCGTTTAGCATCTCCCAGGTTTGCCAATGACCTATTTACAAGGGCTTTGGTAGATCTCAGTCTATAACCCATGTATAACGTGATTACAAGGCTGTGTAATTGCTGCATAATTGTCCTTCTTCCTGAGGCTGGTGCACCCTGGGGTTCCAGCCTCTCAATCTTAATTAAAAAAAATAAATCTTAATCAATCTCAATCATAATTTGGGGTGGGGGGGGGGGGGAAAAAAAGTCTCTTAGCACTTACCATTGCAAAACTAACCTTTCAGATGTAAGAGGAATGTGAACCCATGTGGTGAAATTAGCCTGAAAAAGGATCTCAGAGGTGCCAAGTGCCCCATCATTAAGGCTCTAATTGAAGACTATTTTAAACAGGAGTTTAACTCCTCAGCGACTAATCATTTGGCAAGAGCAAAGCCTTAGGAAAAGCAAGGTCATCCACCTGCCAACTACAAAGCATTTCCAGGCAGACAGGAATCCTCATCACTGGCTTTTACAGAGAAGGAAAATGGGACACAAGCAATAAGACCGGTGCAGGCAGAGCTACTTGCCTTCCTCTAACTGGTGAGGCACAGGAGGTTTATCTATGCGAGCAAATCACTCTGTTCTCATCTTTGAATCAGAGGGAGCAATTCCGTATCTCATTTTCCTGGAGTAGCAAAGATTTAAGACCCTACACACTCCATTCCCACTCTTTCGCCGACCCATTCACAGTGCCTTTGGTTGCAGAAATGCAATTATACATGGGACCTTGATATGCATCAGGGTTAAAACCAGGAAAAGGTTACTGATTGCAAAGAGATGGTGACATCTGATGCACTGTAATTACGCCATGTTAAACACGGGGCCTTTAACAGCCCAGACTGGCTGGTTGTCCCTCTGTGGGCAAGCTGCAGGCAGTCAGAAGCATGGAGGAGACCTGGACACAGCTCTCCCTCCTCTTGGGACTATCCACTCCCCTTGGAGCCCTGAGCGAGTCTGTGGCACCTCCACTGAGATGATCTGGGAGGGACCCTTCCAAGAGAAGGGTTTTCCAAGGCAGGTATCTGGAAATGACTGCTGAAGGAGAAGCTAAAATTGATGGTAGGGCTTAAGGACACCATGAAAGAGAGGAAGTCAGACAGAGAATTTTGCAGATTCCTGCTGAACATGAGCTCATGGAGGGGAGCTGCTCCACATGGAGAAGTTACTCCTGGAAGTAAGGATGGATGACACAAAGGCACAGACTCTAACCAGTGAGGGAGACACCAAGATGATGGTCTTGGTCATTAAACCAAAAAACAGAGGAAAGGCAAAGGATCTGCTGTAAAGGAGACGAAGAAAAGAACAGCAAGCAACGAGGCAGAAAGATGTAGCTGGGAAAAGTCCATCTTGCAGAGGCAGGGAAGGATTCACGCACATATCCTCAGGGTCACCTGTGTATGACCCCAGTGCCCTGTGTTCAAAACAAACATCATCAAGCAGGCAGGCAGACTGCAAAGTTTATCTGGTTGGGCAGCAGTGCGGAAGTGAGCCAGTCAATTGCAAATCAATCAGTTAACCCCCATTACTGCAAACAAACCACCAATCATCTGAAAAATACCCTGCGAGTGTTATCAGCTGTGTGGTTGATACGCTCATGCACCATGCAAGGGAAGGTTTGCCCAAAATCACTGTTTCCCTCCCACAGTCCTCTCATCTAGAACCTCGAGAGCTGCCCCACTAGCCCTGCTACGCCAGTACTTCTAGAGATAAGCCACCAGAGAGCAGATTATGTGCTTGGGGAGAGCTGAAATAGGATTATATCATGTGGCACATGAAAGAAGAGAGGACTAGGTGCAAAGAAATTCTCTTCTACTGCCGTGTTCTTGAGGAATAACTGGGCCAGATCTTGTCTTGTGTAATAACT